TCGATTTGTTTATGATTATATATTTGTTAATATACCACATTATTTATAGGTTTATATAAAACAATAGTTTAGTGATATTTTTCTTCACTTATAAGTGAGAGGCATTATGTTCGATTATCGCCAAAAACGAATTTGAACCATAATATTATTAGTCCATTGTGAGGATAAACTCAAACTAGGCCTTTATGTTAACAGCAAATGAGCTAGTGATAAGAGCAACTCCACCGTGGTGGATTGCTCGAGGGACAGGCTAGAGGAAAGGGCCCGAGGCCCTGTGGATTCGCTCCAGCGTGAAGGAGCTTGAGTGGAGGTGGAGACCCGAGCTCCGGGCCTGTGAAGAATTGCCAGCCCGTGAGCCCGAGTGGATGTGATGTCAGCCCTGCAGCAGGCCCTTTTTTTATTTTTTTCTGTCAGACGCGTGCACCCCACTCGTGCGTGGGGGCGCGTCGCCCGACATCTTTTCAGAAAAATCAGCCCACTTTTCAATTTGAAATGTTACCGTTGGGAAGCCACGTGGCTTCCCACGGTCCATTCGTTCTCAACGGTTCTTTAACTTGGACCATTCGATCTGAGGTCGATATTAATATTCTTTATAAATAAATAAATAAAAGAAAAAATAGTTTTAAAATTAAGAAAAGTTACCGTTGTAACATGTGGCACAATCTGGAGTGTTGGAATTCAATTTTTTTTTAAATCCAACGGCAAAGATTAATTATTTGAATAAAAAATTAAAAAAATTGTAAAAAATCTGAAAAAAAATCTGAAAATTAAAAAAAAAATGTTTTTACTTTTTTATAAATACCTTCTCATTATCATCTACCTTACACAACAATTTGATATTTTCTCAACTACTTTCAATCAAATTCCTATCTTTCTCTCAAAGTTTCAATCCAATTTTTTCAACAAAATGACTACTGTTGTAGGTATGAATTGGTCGCTTCTTGAAGATGTTGCGTTGTGTACTAGCTGGGTTAAAGTTACTCATAGTTCGCTTACGGGTAATGAGATGCAGTTGCGAGAAATGTGGAGTCTTATTCATACCAATTATCTTGAGAAAATGGGTGGGACAAGAACCAAAGAATCGATGTCCAGTCGTTGGAAATTACTTAGCCAATCATTTAGTACGTGGAGAGACATCTTGGCACAAACTAGTACTAATTTTCGAAGTGGGGAAAATTACACGGATCAGGTAACAATATATTATTTATTTGTTTGTACTATACCCAAATTTACATTATAATTATTTGTTTGTATTATTTTTTTTGTTAACTACTTTCATTATAATTATTTGTTTGTATTATTTATTTGTTACCTACTTTTATTATAATTATTTTTTAACTACTTTCATTATAATTATTTGTTTGTATTATTTATTTGTTACCTACTTTCATTATAATCATTTGTTTGTATTATTTATTTGTTACATACTTTCATGATAATTATTTGTTTGTATTATTTATTTGTTACCTACTTTCATTATAATTATTTCTTTTTATTGTTGATTTGTTAACTACTTTCATTATAATTATTTGTTTGTATTATTTATTTGTTACCTACTTTCATTATAACTATTTGTTTGTATTATTTATTTGTTACCTACTTTCATTATAATTATTTCTTTTCCCGCATTGTATAGCAACTTCAAGCACAAGCTTGGTATGGTGCCAAAACCAAAAGAAAAAATAAATCATTCAACCGGTGGGAATGTTGGAATATTGTCAAATATTGTCCTAAATTCAGAGTTGTGCCTGTCGGTCCAGAAGTTTTCATGAATAGCACCCTTCTACACTCTACACCCAATTATGGCTCGCATGTTCATGAAGATGATGTAGAAGAAGTGCCCGAAACGCCCCTCCCTGAACAAGCGTCGGGTTCGACCCGTTATCCAATTAGACCTGAAGGTAAGAAGGCTTCAAATAGAAAAAGGAGTGCTTCCAGGAATGATTATGCAAAATACATGGAAGAACTTGCTTGCCAAGGTGAATTGACTTTGGCACGGGAAATGGCAAAATTTGAGGCTGATAAGGCTAGAGAGGAGGCAAAAGCTGCAACTATTAAGAGATAATTTCAAGCTAATCAGAGAGAAAGAGAGCTACTTAGGCAAGAAAGGGAACAAGTTAGAGAAGAAAGAATGGCTCAACGAGATCGTGAAATTATGAACACGCCTTTAGAAGGGAAGTCTCCAAATTCTAAATATTTTTGGAAGTCAGAGAAAGCGGACGTGGTGCGAAGGGGGCATGCAAGAGAAGCGAGAGCAAGAAAAGATAGTCCTAGCACGACAAGAGAAGATCATCCTAGCACCACAAATTGGTTAAGTGATGATGAATAGAGTAGTTTTTGTAATCAGAGCCCATAATTTTCCAATTTCTTTGGGTTGTAATTTTTTATTTATTGAATAGAGTACTTTATGTTGTTTCCAATTTATTGAATTTAGTACTTTATTTAAAGTGAGAGTAAATTTATTTAATTTGGTAAGTTATTTATACTTAAGAGAATATTTATTCAAATGACAAAAACACACCAAATAAAATTACATAAACATACCAAATGATAAAAAACGAACTAAAAAAAACACACCAACTAAAATTAAATAAACACACCAAATAAAACCAAACACAATAGATGAACTTAATTATCTTCAGCTTGTTTCAATGCCCACCGGTGCTCTATCAAGTCATTTAGCCGGACATTGTGCACATATGGCCTTTGAAGTGCAGTATATCGTTGAATGACCAATTCATTGTAACGTCCATCCCTTTCTAATGGCTCATGTTGCACGGGTTCTTCGATGGTGTCATGAGCACAATATATACGTGTTCTTGAATTGTTCATCGTGTCTGGCTCATATTCATCAACGGCATCATAATCGTACTCATCTTCCACAATCATGTTGTGAAGAATGATGCACGTCATCATGATGGATCAAAGCGACTCTACATCAAACATTATGGCAGCACCCCTGACAATCGCCCATCGAGCTTGGAGGATACCAAAACAACGTTCCACATCCTTCCTGCACCCTTTTGGACAGCTCACAAAGTGTTTTTCCTTTGCACTACGTGGACGTGGCACTGTTTTGACAAACGATGCCCACCTTGGGTAAATGTCGTCTGCTAGGTAGTATGTCTCGTCGTACATACGTCCATTGACCCAGTACGTGACTTTTGGTGCCTTTCCTTGCAGGACATTGTTGAACACTGGGGATTGGGCGAGGACGTTGAGGTCATTTTGAGCTCCCGGAACCCCGAAAAAGGCGTGCCAAATCCATGTATCAAAAGATGTCACCGCCTCCAAAATGATACTTTTTGATCCTTTTCTATCCCCATAAGCGCCTTACCATGCACTTGGACAATTTTTCCAAGTCCAGTGCATACAGTCAATGCTTCCAATCATCCCTGGAAAACCTCACATCTCACCATTCTTCAAAAACCTTTCCAAGTCCATATTAGTAAGTATCCGGAGGCACTCTACGGTGTAGATAGATTCGATTGCCGAGCAAAACCTCATCAGGCACTCAAGAATGGTTGATTTTCCCATCCTCGCTATCTCATCCACTTGGTCTGCAGATGCTCCATATGCAAGCATCCGCAAGGCAGCAGTAATTTTTTGCTCAAGTAGGAGACCCATAGCACCAAAAACATCCGACTTTTGCACAAAGTAAGAATCATGGTTGCAAACAGCGCCCATGATTTTGTTGAACAAATGACATTCTATTCTAAAACGACGTCTAAAGTACGTATCAGGGAATGCACTGTTACGGACAAAATAATCGTTCAAGAGCTACTCACCTCGTCGTTGCCTGTCTCTATCAATGTTTACAGCACGGCTAGGCCTGCAGATCTGAGCCACAACTTGGATGACTCGACGGGAATGTGAGGCTGTTGCCATCCTTGATTTGTCGTCTCTCCGTCTATGCTCCTCATCCTCTTCCCTCTCATTTTGGGCCGCCTAGCATTTGAACATTCATTCTGATTGGTTAAACAATTCTTGCTCTTGCTGATCGATTTCCCACATCATCCTTGAGGAAGAAGAAGACATTGTAAAAATGAAGCAAAAACTATGAATAATGATAGAGATTTAGGTGAATAAGGAAGCAGAAACTATAAATAATGATAGAGATCTTGAGAAAATTGGTGTGAGATTTGTGAGGATGAATAGTGGATTATATGGAGGATTCAGAAACGATTAGGTTATAGATAATGCCACGTGGCATGCCGTCATTCGTTAAAAATCTGATGGAAATCTATCCTCAAAGATTGTAAACAGATTATGACACATGACACAACGTGATTGGTTAATAATCTTATCGGAAATCCATCACCAATAATTGTATTTTCGGATAATGACACGTGGCGCAACGAGAATGATTAAATATCTTATCGGAAATCCATCACCAATAATTGTTTTTTTCGGATTATGACATGTGGCGCAACGATAACGAAAAAAATCTTATCCGAAATTACAAATAAAATAATTTTGTATTATTTTATAACTTTTCGGATTATGACACGTGGTGCAACGAGAATGATTAAAAATCTTATCCGAAATTACAAATAAAATTATTTTGTATTATTTTATAAATAAAAATAATAATAATATTTTATTGTTTATTACTAGGGGGAAGGGCTCCCATACTGGAGATGCAAAAGACAGTTGTTGTTCATTAAGGACAGTTACAGTTCATTAGGTGGATTGAATAGTGGATTGCCCGGGGGTAGGGCTCACACGCTGGAACTGCTCTAATGTGATTTAAATTTGCTTTGGCGAGAATCGAATTTAAAATATCTTACTTACAAGTCCAAATAAAAGAAATACAATTATATCGTAATACTAAATGACAATAATAAAAATGTTAGACGAAAAAGAAATGCATGTACAAAAATAAAGAAAAAGTCGAAACAGGTAAGAAAAAAATTGAAAAGGAAGAGGAAAAGAAAAGGGAAAAATGGAGGCAGCGTTTTGCAAATAGTAGTGGTCCCCTCCATTTCTCCGATTCTTCCCCCTCCTTTTTACTCCTCTCTCTCCTCACTCTCTCTCTCCTCTGCTCAGCTCAGCCCTCAACGAACTGTACGAATGGAGGGTAAGAAAACCAGTATAATTTAAAAACAGGATACCCAAAACAAGCAACGTTGCTTTCGCAATACTTCAAATGCCCCAGAACACCTAATCTCTCTCCTCCCTCTCTCTCTTCAGAACCAACACCCAGACGCTCTCTCAGACAACGCACAGATAACATTTTGACCGCCATAGCCATCTCTCTCTCCCTCTCTCTCTCTCTCTCTCTCTCTCTCTCTCTCACCTCATTATATCTCTACCCACTTGCCCAATTGCCCACATTTGCTAACTACACTTGTTTCTCTCTCTCCCTCTCCAGCTTCTCTCTCTTACCCAATTTCAGTTCCGAAGTCCACTGTTCTTCCCAAGACTGTAATCAAATTACTGGGTTTTTGCTTAATTTAACTCCAACACTTTGTCTGAAATTTGCCGCCTAATTCAATGGACCCAACCGGAGCAACCGTACTCGGATCCACTTTATCAGGACCCGAGATCGAATCCCTCCAATTCCGAGAAGAAATCCATCGACTCATGACAGCGCCGGAGAACGCCAGCTCCTTCACCGCGCTTCTAGAACTTGCGCCCACCCAAGCCATGGAGCTCCTCCACCTCTCGACGGAACCCGACTCTGCTCCGCCGCCGGCCGCCATCTCCGGCGACCCCCAACACGCGCCCTTCGTCCAGCACCTTCCTTTCAATTCGAGCCTCCCCTTCCCTACCAACCCCGCCCCAATCGAACGCGCCGCCAAGTTCTCGACCTTCGCCGGAGATGGCTCGCCGGATACAAACTCCGCGCTGTCGAACTCCGGCGCCGAATTGGAGAAGGTGAAGACCGAGCCGGCCGAGACCGATTCGAACCCTAGCTCGTCGCAGCTGACGCTTGACTTGACCAAAAACAACCAGAGGACCTCGGGTAAGAGAAAGGAGCGAGAGAAGAAGGTAATTCCCGTCGAATTAGGGTTTCTAGGATTCCCTTTTCGGAAATTTTGCTGAATTTTCGAAGTGATCGATAAAATTCGAATTGAACCCCTCTGACTTTGTGAAATTCAGATTAAGGCCCCGACGAAGAAGTGCAAGACCGAAATCAAAGAGGACGCCGAGAAGATGCCGTACGTTCATGTTCGAGCTCGTCGCGGTCAAGCCACGGACAACCATAGCTTGGCTGAGCGAGTAATCAATCCTCTTTAATTAATTATACCCACAATTAATTTTAGAGATGTGGTATCCACACACATTTTTTTACTTCTTCTGCACAGTTTTGGTTTTCTGCCGTCGGATCGGATGAATTGAAGAAGATCACAGGAATTAACAAGGGTGTATGAGAAGTAAAAAGGGGTGTGTGGATAGCATACCCCTAATTTTAACCAATCAAATATTTTCTGCTAATTAATTAAATACTTTGGGATTATACAGGCAAGGAGAGAGAAGATTAATGCGAGGATGAAGCTGCTGCAGGAGCTGGTCCCAGGATGCAATAAGGTTTGATTGACTTTTAGGATCTTAATCTTTTGATTAATTGGTTGATTGGGGATTTTTAAGATTATGTTCTTTTTTTAATAACGGTTTTCCTTGTTGCCTTTTCACAAAAGTTCCTTCTTTTCTACCAAGAAAAGTGCTCCCTGGGCTTGTCCCAGTGGCATTTTCGTAATTTCAATGCAGTTTAATTTTTTAATTTTTTTGTTTTTATAATTTGGAGAAAATTTTGAGAAAATGGAAAAGTGTAGTGGTGGGGTGAGTGTGGTGATGGTGATTCTCCTTTTTTTTTTTTTTTTTTCCTCCCCTCGCTCCTCTCCTCTCACGGTCTTTTTCACTTCTTTTTCTTTATACTTTTTCATTCTCTTTGTACTTTTTGCTTTTTTCTCTACATACAAAGATGAAATCGGGTGTGTACTGGGCTAGGTGAGGAGTCTATTTAAGGTTAATTCTGTCATCTGAAATTTCATTTAGTTTTTTGGCTTTTTAGTTAAAATGATCCATGATATTTGTCTAACTCTTCACTTTGGTTATTGAAATTTGAAATAAATAGAAGTGTTTTCTGAGATTGTTCATCATCAATCGTTTTGGTCTTTTGATGAAAGATTATGTTTGATCAAACAAAATTACCCTTAATATAATAAACAATAAGCCAAAATAATATGGCAAAAATTAAGGGTGTTTTTGTCATTTTATCTTTATTTTATTGAAATTTTTCACGCAATGACTAAAATGATTGATTGTGGACAAACTTAGAGACCAATTTTATTGATTTCAAATTTTAGGAACTAAAGTGAGGAGTTATGCAAATCTCAATGATCATTTTGGCTAAAAAGCATTTACAAGTAAAAAGCAATACTAGTAGACCATAGTACTAAGTGCCGAAATTTCATTTTGTTTTGTATGTTAGAATTTGTATTTTTTTTTTTTTTGGTCTATATGAGACTTCTAGTTCCAAATTAGTCTAAAATGGAGATATTTGAGCTCTGGTGTAAGGTGGCAGACCCTTTTCTTTCTATTTCTCTCTTCATGTGACAAGAGGTACAAAAAAAAACAAATATATACCAAAGTCTGTAAGTTTTGGCCATCTAACTAGCCTACCTCATATATGTTATGATTCGCATGGAAAATAGCGGAATTTTGTTGTAAAAGACAGATGTGCCCTTATGGGGTAATGCTAGCTGGACTGAGTTGTGTGGTGCTTTGGGGGAGAGACCCCACAATTAGTGGGCGATGTTGAAATTACAGATTTAGATATTTGTGGGTCCCACAAGTTGAATGGGGTTTCCCTCTAGCACTATGTGAAGGGTGCATGGTACTGCCACCTGTGACGAGTTTGGTATCCATCCTTGGTTGGATGACGGAAAAGGGAAGACAAAAGAAAGCCTCCTTTAACAAGCTGCCGCTCACCACCTAACTGCGTGGGACATCATGATGTGGGTGAGTGAGAGTCCAATTAGCATTTCACTTGATTGAGCTGAACCAAAGATCTAGCATGCCTAAGATTCCTTTCTGCTGATGGCAAGTTTTTGGGATTTTCCGGTATAATTTTGTGAAGTTTCCTCAAATTGGATAGGACAAAATTTCGAATAAAATTTAGCATACTACCTTTTCTTCGGTGTAGGTTCGATAATAGAAAGCAAATGTGATTCATTTCTATCTGCTTTCGTTGGAGTTGATCCATTGAGCTGTACGCTGCTGGAAGCTGACAGATTGCAAAAATACTTTGCTCCATGTGATTTCCCTTGCGGAAAAGCCAAATGACGACGCTTTCTTAAAACGAGTTGTTTCTTTTGGTGCATATTGAGTCATTGTTCTTGACCTGCATCCAAAATTGGAGCCTCCAATTGCGCCTGCATCTTGCCGTCAAAATATTCGAGTTTCAAATGCGTTTTCCTCGTGGAATTGCACTTTTCAGTTTTCACAAGTCATTCTATTATTGTCCAGTGAAGTTGACTACTGTACTCAGTCCATTGTTGATGCCAATTCTTTGGTACTTCATTCAAACTGACACGATGAGAATGCTTTTAGAGTGCAATGTGAATCTAACTAGCATGTTTTTATTATGAAAAAGAACTATTTTTCTCATATGATCTAATTTTGGCCTCATCTAGTGAAAATGCTTTACAGTGAAAATAAATATATAATGAGGAGCCGAACATTGCGATCACAAGAATGGTTTCCCAGTTACAGGATTTGTTCCGTGTTGTTAGATTGAATGTGTTAAGCAAACTTTTTCTGTCAATTGTTCGTGAAATCATATTCCATGGATCATTTCAATATTTATATGCTTTTTTTTTAGAATAGCTTACGCTTCCAATCTCTATAATCACTGACTAAAATATATTTGCTTTGCAGATTTCAGGAACAGCATTGGTTCTAGATGAAATCATCAGTCACGTGCAGTCCCTACAACGTCAAGTTGAGGTCAGACCTGCTTCACATCTCATACATCTCAAGTAATAGTTTTGAAGCTAAAATGAAAAGGCTTGAACTTGGCCAGTAGTTGTGCATCATTATGGATCTATACTCTAGATCCTGTCCTTGTATACCACCAAATTTTCTAATTACTTATGCTTTAGTTATTGAACTGGTAATTTCAAACTATGTTATGCTGCCATGTTCTGATTCTGGTTTGCATTTGTTTCAGATCTTATCAATGAGACTTGCAGCAGTCAACCCGAGAATTGATTTCAACTTTGATGGTCTATTGGTTGCTGAAGTAAGTATCGTATAGCTCCTTTACTTACTATTGCATAGCAAAATGGGTAAACTGTTAAGTTGCCCTTGTGTTTTATAATTTTATCAGTTGTTCAGTATGGGTTTATGCATGCATTCTTGCTTAGGTGCCTGTTTCCAGTTTCCATCGTATGAAGTTATGCAAAAATATTAGACTCGTCAAACCTTTCTTTAAGTTAGTGTTAAAAAGTTGATGCTGTCTGTTACTAAAGTACTTTTCTATCCTTCACAATTTTCAGAGTGGATCTCTGATGGAAAGTAACTTCGCCGGTATGGTTACACCTCTGATGTGTCCGGAAGTCCCAATCAATAGGAACAGACAACCGTATCAACAGCAATGGCACTTTGATGCGCTTCAGCAGCAAGGTTGGGGGCGGGAAGAAGAAAATCACACTTTCATTACCCCAGAACCCTCCTCATCAGTTGGGGCTGTTCAGCAAACTCAGGTAGACCTTAGACCGATTTTAAGGTTATTGGCAAAGTTCTTTTGCATATCTCATTTTCAGGCTGAATTATCGATGAAAAATACACGTGAGGTGCAGTTTGTTTCATATGTCACTCGAAAAGCAAAATGAAACAACGATGCTAACTTGGTTTTGGTATTTCTGTACAGCAACTGCAGACAAGTCACCTGGAGATGGAGATGTGAAGACGTAATTAAGTTGTACTAGTAGAAATGTGTATATAAAGTATAGTATTAGCAGTTAGCAGGTAGTAGATGAAATGTCTCGGTATTCATGGCCGAGTTTCTTTGTTCTCTATTTTTCAGGGTCAGTTAAGAACATCCCGATTTGCCTCGCCTCGAGAGGAAATAGATTTGGTATGTTATCCGTATAAGTATATATATACACTAACTCTGAGGGTCATTCAATCTAATACCTATTTTTTGAACTGATTGATTTGATTCGTGTTGTAAAATCATTGAAGGAACCCTCGCTTAATACTATATTTGTTCATTGTGCACCATGAATATACTTCTGCACTTTAGCAATTGCACGGCTAAGACGCTGAGGTAGCTTCTATCTTTTGTCGAGGGTTTGTGCTCGTTTGTGTTGAAAACTTGTTCGTTCAAGTTAAAACGCAACCGAATTAGATTTTCATCTGTCATGATTTACATTAGAATAATTGGACTGTCATTGTAACTAAAAGTCTTCTAAATTCCATCATATATTAATTCCATATTCCATAATCTTGCACTAAACAACACTAAAGTAACATATTCCATAATCTTGCACTAAACAACACTAAAGTAAAGTTGTTTTGAACTGCTTTTTTAAGAAGCACTTTTGTTCAGAAGTATTTTCAGTAAAATAACTTCTATTAGCATATTAAAGTTTTTAATTAAAATGTAAGCGCTATATAAAAAAGGACTTGAAGTTCAAGGAGCATGTAATACACCGCGAAGTTCTTCTTCTAAAAAGCGCTTAAAGCAGTTCTAACTTTCTTTTACCAAACGTATATGATTTTAATTACTGAAAAAACACTCCTAAACCATAATAAACTGTATAAGCGTTGAAGGGGAGTTTCCCATTTCAGAATTATCATCGAGAGCGGACGATCGACTTCAAACTTGAAAAGCCAGCAGCCAATTCCAAATGGCAATTGCTCCACCACCTCCTCCGCCCCTCCTCATCCAATCACTCACTCTCCCGCTCCTATTCCTCCTCTTTCTACTTCCTCCCCTCCAATCCCACTTCGCCACGTCACCCACCATCGAACTCCCCAACAACCCCACCACCACCATCTCCGTCGTCGACTTCGGCGCCGTCGGCGACGGCCTCCGCTACGACACCATCGCCATCCAGTCCGCCATCGACAGCTGCCCCTCCCCCTCCCCCTGTCGCGTCATCTTCCCCGCGGGCCTCATCTACCTCACCGCGACCATCCGCCTCAAATCCGGCGTCGTATTAGACATCCAAGAAGGCGCGACACTCCTGGGCGGCACCAGGCTCGAGGACTACCCGAAGGAGCAGAGCAAGTGGTACGTGGTGCTGGCGGAGAACGCGATCAACGTCGGAATCAGCGGCGGCGGAGTGGTGGACGGTCAGGGGTTGAAGTTCGTGATGAGGTTCGATGAGAGGAAGAATGTGATGGTGAGCTGGAATCGGACCGGGGCTTGCTTGGGCGACGAGTGCCGTCCCAGGCTCGTCGGCTTCATCAATTGCCGGAATGTCAACCTCTCCAATTTCAAGCTGCGTCAGCCCGCTTACTGGTGGTGCGTTTTTTTCCAATCAAATTTCTCTTTTTATTTATTTTTATTTTTATATTATTTTATTTTATTTAACTGGCTACATTGAATTCATCATTTGGATATGGAAATGGATATTGTGATTATTTTATAGTCCAATTATTGGGGTATGCCCAGTAGCTAAGCTACAAGTTACGTATTCAATTACACGACCATATATGCCACATATTTCTATGGATCAGAGGTAACTTAAGTTGATTCTCGTCAAATGTGAGTTTAAACCATATTATTGTTAGCCTATTGTGAAATTAAGTTGATCATTTCCTCTTAGTGCAAATAATATCGTTTGTTAAAAAAAAAAAAATTTTACAACTATATATACAAAAACTCTAGGATGCTCCAGTGCTTTCTATACACTGAAGTTTTTAGCAGTTATATTCTTGATCAAGGATCTAATGACTAAGATACAGCCAAGTAAACAATTTCCTAGATATAATGTCATTGAAGACACCGATAATTTATGCTACTATAAAAAAGGTCGTACCCAGTGCACAAGGCTCCCGCTTTACGCAGGGTCTGGAAGAGGTGAATGTCGGCTAGCCTTACCCCCATTTATGGAGAGGCTGCTCTCAAGTCTCGAACCCGAAACCTACCGCTCATGGGCGAAGGCACTTGCCATCGCACCAAGTACGAAAATTTTACTATGCTTTGTTGCTTTATATACGGGTTGATTTTTAGCTGTTAAATCCTTGATGAATGATCCAATGACCAAGAATCCAAGATGGCCAAAATTTCCTGAGCATAGTAGAAAACCTTCCATATATAACGTCATTGAAGTGCTGACATTCTTTTTCTCATTATCTAAGTTGTATCAATTAATTACATCGCGATTTGGTCTGGTGAGACTTAGTCTCTACTTTGTTTAAAGAGGTCCAGATCGAATCAGCTTGCAGTTTGTACAAGTTTGAAATGCAATGTAACTGACGGGAACATTGCATATTTGCAGCTTGCACATTGTACAGTGTGAGAATATTTCCATTGAAGATGTTTCAATTTATGGAGATTTCAATACACCCAACAATGATGGGATAGATATCGAGGATTCAAATAACACAGTCATTACCAGATGCCATATCAATACTGGAGATGATGCTATCTGTCCCAAGACGTACACCGGCCCCCTTTATAACTTGACTGTAACAAATTGTTGGATTCGAACAAAGTCTTCAGCAATCAAACTTGGCAGCGCTAGTTGGTTCGATTTCAAGGGTCTGGTGTTCGACAACATCACCATTGTGGATTCTCATAGAGGGCTGGGACTCCAAATACGCGATGGAGGTAATATATTCTCTAGCATTTTGTTGCATTATTGCTATGACTGTTACTTTTAAGTTACGAAGAAGAAAAGAAAAGTACCACAACTATAACGCGACATCTTTAATCAGTTGATGCATTTTTCACCTTATCGTATTGTCTATGTGAACGATGAGATAGCTTAAACCCAACTAGGACTTTGAATGTAAAATTTCCGGACTTATCTCTTGGGGGTCGGGATTAACGTAGGTCTAGTTTGTACGCAAGTTGGGGAGTTTTGACTGCCTGAAAGTTTGCGGCAGCCCGTGAATAACTCTCAGCGATAGTTGTATGTCTATCCCTAGTAGGTCTCACTTGTATGAACGATTGACCACCACTTATGGGGGACTGTCCTTAAAAGAAACTCCTCCTTTCTGTGGCTTTTGTATTGTCTGCCTTCTGAGTTCAAACTAAAGATTGACAGGTTTAATAGTTGAAAACAACTAACAAATTGGTTCAACAAGTAGCAGCTGGACTTGGTAATTTACTGACGTTTGACGGTAGAGAATTTCGTTGTGATAAAATAAAGGCTGATTAGAGTTTGCTGTCATAGCTCTCTCATTATGACAAGATTACTAATTATTCACCTGTGCAGGAAATGTGAGTGACATTACCTTCTCAAACATAAATATGATCACAAGATACTATGATCAATCCTGGTGGGGAAGAGCTGAGCCAATCTACGTGACCTCATGTCCTCGACACTCAAAGTCAAAGGAGGGTTCAATCTCTAACCTACTCTTCGTTAATATCACCTCAACTTCCGAGAATGGAGTATTCTTATCAGGTTCTAAAGGTGGGCTTCTCAGTGATTTACGATTCATTAACTTGGATCTGACTTACAGAAGATGGACCAACAATGCTGGTGGGTTGGTAGACTACAGACCGGGATGCCAGGGACTTGTTAAACACATCACGGCCGGGATCATCATGGAACACATCAATGGCTTGGTGATTGACAATGTTAATATGAGATGGTCCGATGAGCCGTTAAGGCAGTGGAATGATCCTTTGGATTTCAAGTCTGCTACTGTAAATAACATATCTCTGCTTAATTTCCACTCCGGCTTGTACAAACAATGAAAGAGGTGGATAGAGAGAGAGAGAGAGATTAGGAAAAAGTATTGAATAATGTCATTCTTCTTATTGTATGTTGGTGATGGATTTTGTTCAAAGTTTTTGTGAGATTAAAGGCATGAATGTTTGTTCAATTCGTCACCCACCAAGAAAAACCAATATCTAGATTTGTTTTGTAGTTATGGTTTTAAAGGTTTTTAATCATAATACACTACAAATTACTTTCACTCGCACTCTGAGTTGTGAGAAGTATGCTAAGATTAGTTGCGCACGCGGGTATGGATCAATTATGACTATTCATGATTTTAGAGGGTTATCTTTTTGGAAATGGCCAAACAATCTGCCCGCCAACTCTGCCTTTCTTCCTTCCCTCCAAATCCACAGAATTTTAAATCTCCATGCTCCAACGGTCAACTGAGAGAGCTCTGTTGGAAATGGCCGCTAAAGGCCTTGAGATGAAGTTCGACGGCTACTATACACTCTTAAACGAGTGTGTAAACCGAAAGGCCTTCAGAGAAGGCCAAAGAGTCCATGCCCACATGATCAGAACCTGTTATCTTCCGCCTGTGCATCTCGGAACCCGGCTGATCATCTTCTACAACTATTGCGATTATTTGGGTGACGCAGGCGTATGCTCGACGAAATGCCTGAAAGAAATGTTGTGTCTTGGACGGCCATGGTTTCGGCTTATTCTAAGAGGGGGTATGCCTCTGAACTCTGAAGCCTTGAAACTTCTTGTACAGATGTTAAGATCAGGTATTATTGTTCTTAATTCAAGTTTATATAAGTGCGTCGTTGAGTCATTGCTTGTGTTGTGAGTAAAGTTTTTAATTAGAGTTTAAGTGCATCGAGCTTTCCTTTTTTCGTTGATGTATTGTTTTTTTTCCTTTGACGGGTTTTGGCTTCGTCCCCGCATGTATTTATTTTTTAATAAAATTTCGGAGATAGGGAAAAGGGGGTCATTCTATCAAGTAGTTAGCCATTTCTAATCACTCTGAGCAAGAAGGAAGTAGCCTATTTGTAGTTGATGGCTAAATCTCAGGGCCTTGGTTCTTTCTAACCGTCTTGTGTGGGTTTAGAGAGTAAGGCTACCATGGTAGACCGATGACCAAGCTTTATGTATAGCTCGACTGTCTAATCCTTTATCTTCCTTTCCTTAAGAAAAAAAAATGATCTTTTGATTAGTTAGGGATTATTGTTATTATGTTTTCTATCTCTTTGTTTAACAGGGGCTTCTTGTATTGATAATTTTGCAGGTACGGAGCCTAATGAGTTCACGTTTGCGACAATACTTACTTCATGTACAGGCGCTTCGGGATTGGACTTAGGAAGGCAAATCCACTCTCTAATAATAAGAAGAAATTTTGAGTTGCACATATTTGTTGGGAGCTCACATCTTGACATGTATGCCAAAGCTGGTAGAATCTATGAAGCCTGAGGAGTTTTCAACTGCTTGCCAGAGAGGGATGTTGTTTCTTGCACTGCTATAATCTCTGGATATGCCCAGCTGGGTCTTGATGAGGAGGCTTTGGAGCTACTCCGCCAGTTGCAGAGAGAAGGAATGACTTCGAACTACGTCACTTATGCGAGTGTGTTAACAGCATTATCAGGGCTTGCTGAATTGGACCTTGGCAGGCAAGTTCACAGCCACATCCTTTGTCAGGAACTGCCCTCATATGTGGTTCTTCTGAACTCGTTGATTGATATGTACTCTAAATGTGGAAACCTGAGTTACTCAAGAAGGATCTTTGATAGCATGACAGAGAGAACCATCATCTCGTGGAATGCCATGCTTGTAGGGTATAGTAAACATGGAATGGGTAGGAAAATAAAGTCAGACCAGATAGTGTCCCTTTTTTGGTGGTTTTATTCGGTTGCAGCCATGGAGGAATGAAAGAGGGTTGGAATAGTTTTATGAGATGGAAAAAGGTGAAAATGGAATTGAGCCAGAGCTTGAACACTCTGGGTGTGTCGTTGATCTTCTTGGGCTTGCTGGTCGAGTTGAAGAGGCATTTGAGTTTATAAAAAAGATGCGTTTTGAAGCAACTGCTTCTATATGGGGTTCGTTATTAGGTATGAAAGTTCTAGGATGAGTACTAGTTAACCCAGAGGGGGGTGAATAGGTTTCAATTTAAAAATCCAATTCAATTTTCAATTTAATTTTCAATTCTCAAATTAAATCCACATTCACATCACATATCAAACTATCATACTCATATGCAATTAAAACGATAAATAAAAAGTGCACATGATGTAGGATTTAACGAGGCAAAACCCAACACTGGGAAAATCCTCAGGCTTCCAAGCCAGGACAAACACTAAGAGAAATAAGTACAGAAAGACTTACAAAACTCATCAACTAGACACGCATACTAGTAGGCAGTTTTGCCTCTGCGCTTTGCTACTCTATCTCTCTTCAGTCTTCGAGTTGAAGTGGCACGACACTAATGCGATCGTCAATTACCTTTTCCTCGAACTTTGCAAGATACTAACTCGATCATGCAGAATGTTTATACGACGAAGTGTTTATTTGAAAAACAATCAATTACGAAAATCACAAGGCACATTTCATAATTGACATTCAATTAAAACCTTAAATGAAAAACAGCATGAAAATAATATTTTCTCTTTAAAAACGCATGCTGTTGAAACCACAAGATAGCAGCAATATCAAAAATATTTTTCCTTATTCAAAACACCAAGATGCTGCCTCTCAAACTTTTATCAAGGAAAACAGGTTTTATGCATATGCGACTTCCATAAAAAAACAGTTCCTGACCTCCCTTATAAATACATAAATATGCAACACCATCTTTCAAGCCCCCTGACCTCTCATATATATAAACCAAAGCACAACACCCATTTCCCAATGATACGGACGACACTATCTGAGAAAGATAGCAATCCATGTAGTTAGATGACTCTCACCAAACACGCAATCAGATAAGTTTGAAAACATGATTTAATAATTAATATAGATGGGATAAGTCATTCTAAAAGGATAAAACAAACAATGAGTAAAAGTCCTATCCCAAATACAATAACATGTGATATAGATGTAGTTGGATGCATGCGTGCAAACATACCTGAGTGGATGTCTCTGAAACGCTTGCCAGTTTTGTGATAGAGAGCCAAGAGACAAACTTAGACTAAAATAATTCCAACGGAAAATATGTACTAGTCTAAGATTACAGACTCGGACGTTTTGTTTAGGAATAGCCAATTTTACCCTAACAATCTCCCCCTTTGGCATTTCCTAGACAAAACCCTCTATCACAGTATTACAGACAACTAATAAACTTAACGACCATGCATAACATTGAAGTCTGTAACCTGCACACACTCAAACAAGAAAACCTGTGACGTACAAAAGATATACGTTGCTGAAAATAAAAGCATTTATCTATAAAAGCAAGCAACAAAAAACAATCAGGTTTTTGAAATTCTACTTCTCCCCCTAAATATAAGCTTCCTACTTCTCCCCCTTTTTGTCTAGAAAGGTCAAAGGCCTTAGAGGTAACCATCAAGTGCAATCAGCGGAAGATAAGTGGAACATAACAAAATGTGATGGAGAAAGATTTCCTTTATGTGAACAAGAACCGCTTCGGAAGAATAAAAGTGGGGACGAAATCGGGAGGGAAAAGAACACAGGTGCAATAGTTGAAAAGATAAACATGAAAAGAAATGCATATTTCATATTGTTAAGCTCCCCCTAAACAAATGCTTTATAAAATAATAATGAAATGCAACACACAAATGATAGGATTTTTTTTTTTTTTTTTTTTTATTTTTAAAAAACATTTGTATGAGAAGCAAATAATTGTTCCAACAAGAATGAAATGGTACAAAAACACATGTGGTTCTGAATCCTCATTCACAAGCTAACATTGTCCCTAAAACATAACATGTATTAGTGTAGTTGCAAGTATAGCCGAAAGTTGATACTACACAAATGTAATTAAGTCGTACAAGACCAACTTAACTTTAACCCTTAAGCTCACAAGATATACGCTCAAATTTTCATTCAAAGTGTTTTGGGGTAAGTGTATACGCTCAAAAGATCATTACATGAATGCTCTACCATAGGCTTGCAGATTGATCTCATCTCCACACATCAAAAATTAACTTCTTTGGATCAAGTAGGTCTTTGTTAAGGGTGTAATGGGGCTTCAGGTACTCGGTTAAAGAAATAAAGGATATAGGAAACACAAAGTCTAAGAAACTAATAGAGTAGTTGGAAATGAAACCGAGAGAAGCATGCAACAGTTAACCAAGCAACTTGGCAGTAAATTGAGTGGTTGGATGAACGACTTATAACTGCACAATTGATTTCTGATGATTCTTCCTTTTCATTTACAATGACACACTTGATTTCTTATAATGTTGGCAGCTCACTTGTGATTCATAGTGACTTCTTTTCATCTTTTCTTCTTTTGCTCTTCATTTGTAGTTGGCTTTCTTCACAAAATTTGCATCTTCAACCTTTAAATAACCTTGAACTCTCTCTTTTGAAAAACGTACTCTACTAGCTTCTTAGTAGGGTAGGGAATTTTTAATATAAGAGGCTAGGTAAGAAATGTAGGTTTAAGAACAAAAGGCTTACATATAGGCTCAAAAGGGCTAACTAGGAGAAAACATGTAAGGCACTGGCATATATGGCAATGATGGTAAGTCCTAATGCCTACTATCGTCTCCAAAATAGAATAATATATGATACAAAGTTTTGAGAGGTCTCAAAGCAAGTTCTAGAGCAGCAAAACACATAAGATCACACACATGAAAAAAAATAAGAGTGTATGAAAAATGCACACACTATATTTAGGCACAAAAGCTCACATGGGTGCGGGTTTTACTCAAGTTAAACATGTTCAACTCATTAACATTGATATATTATCAACAAGAGGCTATTGTCCACAATAGAGTCAAACATATCATGCTAGGGTCATGTTATCAAGTGAACAAAGCTAGAACTCATATGAAATCATACTTTTCCATTTTTACTCATACATTTATTTTTTATTATTTATTTATTTTTTTAATTTTTTTTTTTTAACAAGAAGAAAGACAAAAAATGCAGTATTTATGCTATATGACATGCAAGCATACATTAATGAAAACATTTGCAAAGAGAGAGCTTAGTCAATATAAACAACTTGAAGGTGGAGATAAATTGACAAGTACACCACTTTGATTCTCTTTTCTTCTCCAAACTTGTCTCACTTTTGGAACTAGCGTACTTGGAACATATATAATTCTTGCAATCCGATTAATCTCTTTCAAATAAGTCACAAATTGTTCCTTAAGATTTTCTTTTTCAAAGTTCCTTGAAACTTTTTCTTGATAAGAATTTTTCTTTCTAAGCTTATTGCACTTAGGCCGGATGTGACCAGGAATCCCACAAAGATGACATATAGGAATAAACTTCCTAGATTGTTTGGGTTTGTTAAGATTAATTGAAGTCTTGACAGGATTTAACACGTGTGCAAAGATTGTAGATGTTTCAGGAGTAAGACCTAAACGTTTATCGTCACCTACTTTCAAACTAGGAATATTAGAGGCTTTGACAAATCTGGTGACAGAAGAGGAACTTGTAGTCTTTGTAGACTCGAATCCTAGACCTCCTTTGTCTCCAAAACTTTTTCCATAGCTAAGCATCTTGTCAATTTTCCCCGAACCTATGCTCAACTCCTGAACTTTTCTTCTCATCTCAACCACTTCGTCCTCAAGAGCTTTCTTATCAGACGAGAGAGTGTTAATTGTGGTTTGTAGAATGTGAATCTTCTCTAACAGCGACTCTCGCAGTTTCTCTCCATTGTCCAACTGAGATTGATGCTCAACTTCAGCTTCTTTCTTTTCACTTTCAACAAATGCAAGTTTCTTCTTCAAGTTAGAGTTATCCTTTTTTTACTTGCACACTGATGTCATAGAGATCAGAATATTTTCTCAAGACTTTTTCCAAGTCAGGTTCTTCAACAAATGAACCTTCTGTGTCATATCCATCAACAGTTCCTATAAACGCAATCGTATCCTTCTCAGATTCTGACGTAGATGCATCCCCTGAATCACTATCGCTCCAAGTGACCTTCATTGCCCTATTCTTCTTCTCTTTTCTCTTAATAGTGTTTGCACACTCAGAAGCAATGTGTCCATAGCCTTGACACTCATGACACTGAACCCTATTGTTAGAACTCCTATGTTCACTAGTTCTAGATGATCTAGAGGCTTTGTCATGTAAGACATCTAGAGAACGAAAGTTTTTTGAGTTCGAACCTGAGTTGGTTCGTTGCTCACGACCCTTGGAATTTTGAGACTTGAGAAACCTTCTAATTTGCATGGTTAATTCAACCAATTCATCTTCGGACAAGTCTTCAATTAAGCCATCACTTTCTTCTTCTTTGACAGCTTTGAGAGCAATGCTTTTCATCTTCTTGGAATCAGGAAGCTCTAACTCATACGGTTGCAGAGACCCAATCAATTGCTCAAGCTTGTAGGTGTTTAGATCTTTCGATTCCTCAATCGCCGTCCTCTTAGCATGAAACCTCATAGGAAGTGATCTTAAGATCTTTTTCACAATCCTATGCTCAGGAATACTATCACCAAGATTGTGACAGCCATTGACAATACGCTAAGCTTAGCATAAAAGTCAGAGAAACTTTCATCATCAGACATTGTGATATTTTCGAATTTTGTGATGAGATGTTGAAGTTTGGATTCTTTAACAGTTGAGTTACCCTCATGAGTAACTTCAAGAATGTCCCAAGCTTCTTTCGCCGTTGTACACTTACTTATGTAATTGAATTGTTCAGGCGAAACGGCTGTGAATAAAGCATTCAAAGCCCTTTGGTTAAAAGTGCTAGAGCTACGCTCATCATTGCTCCATTCTTTCCTAGGCTTAAGCTTAGATATAGACACATATGACTCTCCTTTACCTTTGGTTTCTTCAATCGTCGGAGGTTCCCAACCTTCTTCAACAGCAAGCCACACCTTGTCATCTTGTGCCCACAAAAACGATTTCATTTTCGCCTTCCACGCAACATAGTTGTCACCATCAAAATGTGGTGGATGAGAAACTGAACCCATAGTACGATTCATCCTAGACTACCCACGGATCTCACTAGGTACTTTTAGTGACCTGCTCTTGTGCCAATTGAAAGTTCTAGGATGAGTACTAGTTAACCTAGAGGGGGGTGAATAGGTTTCAATTTAAAAATCCAATTCAATTTTCAATTTAATTTTCAATTCTCAAATTAAATCCACATTCACATCACATATCAAACTATCATACTCATATGCAATTAAAACGATAAATAAAAAGTGCACACATGATGTAGGATTTAACGAGGCAAAACCCAACACTGGGAAAATCCTCAGGCTTCCAAGCCAGGACAAACACTAAGAGAAATAAGTACAGAAAGACTTACAAAACTCATCAACTAGACACGCATACTAGTAGGCAGTTTTGCCTCTGCGCTTTGCTACTCTATCTCTCTTCAGTCTTCGAGTTGAAGTGGCACGACACTAATGCGATCGTCAATTACCTTTTCCTCGAACTTTGCAAGATACTAACTCGATCATGCAGAATGTTTATACGACGAAGTGTTTATTTGAAAAACAATCAATTACGAAAATCACAAGGCACATTTTATAATTGACATTCAATTAAAACCTTAAATGAAAAACAGCATGAAAATAATATTTTCTCTTTAAAAACGCATGCTGTTGAAACCACAAGATAGCAGCAATATCAAAAATATTTTTCCTTATTCAAAACACCAAGATGCTGCCTCTCAAACTTTTATCAAGGAAAACAGGTTATATGCATATGCGACTTCCATAAAAAAACAGTTCCTGACCTCCCTTATAAATACATAAATATGCAACACCATCTTTCAAGCCCCCTGACCTCTCATATATATAAACCAAAGCACAACACCCATTTCCCAATGATCCGGACGACACTATCTGAGAAAGATAGCAATCCATGTAGTTAGATGACTCTCACCAAACACGCAATCAGATAAGTTTGAAAACATGATTTAATAATTAATATAGATGGGATAAGTCATTCTAAAAGGATAAAACACACAATGAGTAAAAGTCCTATCCCAAATACAATAACATGTGATATAGATGTAGTTGGATGCATGCGTGCAAACATACCTGAGTGGATGTCTCTGAAACGCTTGCCAGTTTGTGATAGAGAGCCAAGAGACAAACTTAGACTAAAATAATTACAACGGAAAATATGTACTAGTCTAAGATTACAGACTCAGACGTTTTGTTTAGGAATAGCCAATTTTACCCTAACAAGGTACTTGTAGAGTTCACTCAAATATCGACATTAGTGAATTTGTGGGTTTCCGACTTTTACAGATTGAGCCTGAAAATGCTGGTAACTATGTCATTCTTTCTAATTTATATGCTTCTACAGGGAGATGGGAGGATGTAAGAATCATAAGGGAATTGATGTTAGAGAAGGTTGTGATAAAGGAGCCCGGAAGAAGTTGGATTGAGCTTGACCAAATCCTTCATACATTTCATGCAAGCAATTGCTCTCATGAAAGAATTGTCAATTAGGTTGAAGGAAGCTGGTTATGTTCCTGATTTGGGTTGTGTTTTCTATGATGTGGATGAGGAGCAGAAGGAGAAGATACTCCCAAGCCACATGAAAAACTGGTTTTGGCCTTTGGGATGATTGCTACTCCTGAAAGAGTGCCAGTAACCTTCGGATTTGTGTTGATTGCCATAACTTCGCCAAACTTGTCTCGAATATTTATGGAAGACAAATGTATATGAGAGATAAAAACCGGTTTAATCACATTGTTGGAGGAATGTGCTCTTGCGGAGATTACTGGTGAGTGTGAAGATCCTCCTTTAAAGCTACAAATATCTGACTTAAAAGCGGAATATATACAAAATGCTGTTATACTGTAACCGTGACATGAAAATGAATTGTGAAACGTAGAATACTAGGGCTGAAACAAAAGCAAAGAGGATAGTGTAAACAGATATATTGCTTTAGACGAGATTATGATAAGTGTAACATTATTCTTTTGAAAATAGACTAAGTAACTTGTACAAAAGTAGAATGGTTTATACGCAAAAGGACAAGGTCTCCCTTCACTCGTCGCTAAGTAGTAAAACGTTTATAATTTTTTACCCGTCCAACGAAAATGCATGGAACAAAACGGAGAGTGTCAAAATTGTTACGCAAAACAATATAAATAAATAAAGCCCAAGGAGATTACTGTGAGTGAGGTTGGGTTTCTCCTCCTGGCCCATATAATTCTAGCAAAGGCCCATCAAATAAGCAATACCACGGCAAACCAAAAGCTCACTCACTCCACTCCTTTCCTCTCTCTCTCATCCTCTCTCCCCCTTACGAGCTGGGAGCAAAGGTCTTCGCCATACCCGCCTCCACAATGCTCCGCCAGCGCCTCGTCCAGGCACTCCGAACCCGCGGCGGATCAGCCACCGGTCCGAGCCGGTGGACCAGCCCGGGCCACGAGGAACGACCCAAAGGCTACCTCTTCAATCGGACCCCGCTCCCCCCAGGTCAGTCTCGTAAATGGGAGGACTGGGAGCTCCCCTGCTACGTCACCAGCTTCCTCACCATCGTCATCCTCGGCGTCGGCCTCAACGCCAAGCCCGATCTCACCATCGAGACTTGGGCCCACCAGAAGGCCCTCGAACGGCTCGAGATCGAGCAGGCCGGCCTCTCTGTTGCTGGGTCGGCTGAATCTGACTGAAATCCGATCTGGGTATGCCGGTTCGTTCTGATATCGATCCTTTTTTTTAAGAGTTGAAATGGGTTTTCGGTTGTTGATATGATATGTAGTTGAAATAATGGTTTGGGATGTTTAATTGGGCTTTTGATGTGAAGCTTGATTATTACTTCATAATTTAGCTGTTTTTCAATTATTTGTATGTTTTGACTCGTCGATGATTTCGAATAGTTCATCAATTTCTTGCCTCTAATACAGTTTTTTATGCTTGTAATTTGAGTTGTGCAGTGGTATCAGTAGCTAAATTTATAGAATTAGGATGCATTAATTAAAATTTCTAGGGCTAGGATGCCATCTATGTGCCCTGCATACACTGTTGAGTGTTGACAGTTAGTCTGAAGAACAGAAGAAGTAGGATAAATTTGTAACGGGTTTTGCTTCGAATGATGCTAGATGTATAACAAAGGTTTACGAAATGATGTGAAAACTTACATGGTACGTATTGCATCAGTTTATAAATTAGACATTGTAGAACTTTGGGAACGGTTAGCGTTTTTCTTTTTTCTTGTAATTGTTCATTTGGAGATATAAGTTTTAGAGGCGCGGAGAGAATCAAAGTGCTGAATTGATACATAGGAGCCAGGGTTGTAATCTATGTGCATAAATGGCAGGAGGGCTCGAAACATATCTGGATACTTGCACACTTACACTGTTGACTTTTAAGATATGTTGAAGTCTGAGGAACCTAAATAGGATTAGTAGGGGTTTTGCTTAAAATGACGCTAGATGTATAAAAAAAGGTTTACTAAATGATGTGAAAATTTATATGGCATGTGAGCTCTTGTGTCAGTTATAAATTAAACACCATAGAAATTTGATACCATTTAGCATTTTTCTTTTTCTTATAATTGTTTCCTGAAAACGTAAATTAAATTTTGTGCGTGCTGAATTGTGATATAGGAGCCGCGGGTTGTGGTTTCCATGAGTTTTACAAATCACATATAAATGCAGATTACTGGAAATTTTCTCTGAAATTTTTGGAAGCGTTTGGGTTGGTAAAACACACACTGAAAGGTTTTTATTAGACTGTATCATGAACACTGTCTCAATTCAATATTTCATTATTGAGGTGGTCGGCTGACTCTTACAAAGAATATTCATTTTCTTTAGTGGCATGGAATATGTTGTAGTCTCGCATTATAAAACTTGGTTGATACTTGGGTGATCTCTAGGTTTGATCATAGAGGTCTTCTCTGCTGTTGGGAAAACCATAAACATAGTTTAGGTGTCGTTAGCTAAAACTAGAGCACTGCGGTAATCACCTATATCTATAAATGAACTGGCTGTTACTCTTTTAAGTGGGGTGTGTTATTCTTTCGCATGTGTGGCATTTTTTCTGCTAAGTTCCATACCATTTACCAATTTTAGTGACATTTCATTTGTATACAAATGAAGGGTTGAGACCTGGGAGATGATGAAATTCAGATTCAGTTATCTCTGTACTCGTATTTTTTAGTTTTGTCAAACGTAGGCAACATGTAACCCTGAAAAGGCCCATGTTGTGATGAATTGGTACAATGGGTACAAAAAAGGATCAGCAGCTATTCATATTTCATTCTTTTTTAATTGAATTCATAGTCTTTGTTTCGGGTTGATTTTTTTGTTGGATTTATTTCAGTCAAAGCTATCATCTTTAAAAGGGATTTTGAGTTGTTCTGTATGATTCACACATATACCATGAACCTTTAGTGTTGGGTATTTAGGTGCTTGATTGGTTAACTTGGATTGATAGGTTAAAGTACATTGTGGACAATACTTGGGAAAGCCATGGACCTAATGTGTAAGGAAGTATGAGTACCAAGACGCGATTTCTTTATACTTTATATACTAGACATGTCCTTTCCTTTCATTCTAACATGTCATTAACCTTATGAGTTGAATTGGCTTTAAACGTTTGTGATATTCTCGTGAAACCATTGAGTTTGTAGTTCACTGGTACTCAATGTATTGGTATTCCTTTGGTCAGGAAGTAGTTGCTCGTGGGATTTCTGGCTCAAAAGCAAACAGAGACGTACGTTTGTGTATAGTATTGATGTTCTCATGTTTTATGGAGGAACTTATCTTATTTAGGATGAATTTAAGTTCGACTTTGGGGGTTTAGCAAAATTCTTGAAAAACTCAGAGATAGAAAAGATAGCATTCTAGAGCAAAAGCCTTTTGTAATACTAATGATAGAAATACTCAGTTTAGGAGAATTCATACTGACTTATGTCTGTTTGTACACAACCAGGAAAAGTTGGTTCCAAAATTTCAACTTTCACCGCAATTGTCGTGCTTATAGGAGGAGCATCAGGCTTGCTAAATATAGCCCTCCTTTTAGCCATTTTTTTGGGGCCCAGCACTTAAGTGGCATAATTGATTCAAATTCAACGATTAGATTGAAAAACATCTAACGGTAGTTTAATTAAATTATCGAGAGGTTATGTTTACCCTTTGAGATAGTATATGAAGTATGACCTAATACTATTCATTTAAAAATAATTTTTTTTCCAAGTTATAATTCTGGACAAGGTTATGTTTAACCATTTCGGTTGAAGATGGCCTAAACTCCTACAGGAGTACAAGAGGCATTTTTGCTTCAAGCCTATTATACTTTCTTGCCCTTTGTTCCATACTCTTCAATGGACTTATAATAAGTTTCTCCCGTTTAACAACAGTCTTTGTCAAGTAATCGAGAAGTTGGAAATTAAGGTCATCTCCAACCGAAGGGTTCAGAGGGTCGAAAATAGCCCGAAAACCATCTCTAACCGAGGGTTAGGCCAGTGGGCTTGTGACCCCGATGGAATCTGAAAGGGCCAAAGGGCCAGAAGGCTAGCCCCTTCCAGCCAGCCCTGGGCTGGTCATAATTTTGTGTAAAAGTGTCGAATTTCCTGTCAGATATAATCGACAGGAATAGTAATTTGAATATAAATGGCATCGTAGTAATCAGTTTGACTCGGCGGAATTGTGTCGGTTATAACCGACACGAATAGTTTAAAATTTTGAATACAACGGCTAGCTGACTGCAACTAGCCGTTGCTTTACATTTTTTTTTTATTATGAATTTAATCATTTTTTTTTCTATAAATACCTAAGTCATTCATACATCATTTCTCACATAATTTTTACTCTTGCATACTATCTCATTTCATTCTATTTCAAATTTAAGTTGTAGTTTTTAAATTTAAGTTGTTGTTTTGAAATTTAAATAATAAATTATGTTTGGCTATGGCCCCTTGGCCCTCAGTTGGAGACGGTTTTTTGTGACAGCTAAAACGAGCCATATGGTCCTTTGACTCTCGGTTGGAGACGGAGGAAAAAATGGTGATGTACTATTCATTAAAATATTAATATCTTGGAGGGCCAGAGGGCTAAAACGACCTCTCTGACCAGCCCTCGGTTGGAGATGGCCTAACAGTGCAGCCCTCAAACCGTCTAATTTCCACTTCTCTGAGGTAATCATGGGAGCGTTTGGGGGGAGCATCTTTCTTATCGTTTCTTCTGCCCAATATTCTTGGATAGAAACTCAAGTGCACCTGAAAATCCAAAACAAACCAGCAATTCCATCAAGTCTTACAACCCCAACTGGTATTTTAGTTAGTTTGCAAAGGGTTTATATATAGAATAGTTGAGTTGATTTAGAGCATTTACTCCCTGAACCTAAAGTTCCGAGTTCAATTTACTCCTCCCTCGGTGGCACTTGTACATATATATTGTATTCTTTTTTATTAAAAGAAATGAAAAAAGGCATTACTTACATTCAACACAAGTTTAAGCAAGTAAATAGACACTCTAATGAAAGAATTTAACTGAAAAAAGATTGCAATAATCATCTAAACCAAGTGTTAATTCCAAATGCTCGAGATTTTCAAGCATAGGAAATATACAATTCTCCATGTTCATCTGAAAACCAAATAATAAGGCCTAATTAAACATAATCCCACTAAAACCAAGGAGAACCAAACATAAATGTATTAACCAGTATTCCATCCAGTTTGAGAGTCTCTAGCTGAGAAAACCAACATGGGAGTAGGGATGGGCAAATACTCATCGATTATGGGTAACCGCGGTTACCCGTCCATTTAAATTTCACGGTTACGGTTATGGGTAACCGTTTAGATAAATAAACGGTTATGGGCATAACCGTTTACCCGTGAAATTTAAATGGGCGGTTATGGGTATTAACCGCGGTTATAAACGGGTAACCGTTTACCCATTTATTTTATGTATGTAAAATTAACACAAACCATGTTCCCTATCAGACAAAACTTTGATCAATGCTATTGACTATAGTGCATGATTTATGTAGCTAATATAATATAGTTTTCCTTAACCACTTTAAATTTCATGGTCCATTATATATTATGTTAATACTTTACATTCTGAGTTAAATAACCCAAGAATACTATCTTTTAACAGTTTTTGTCACATCTAGCCCGAGGCGGATCACTTCCCGAGCTCGCTCCACCACCGTAGCACGATATTGTCCGCTTTAGGCCCCAACTATGCCCTCACGATTTTGTTTTTGGGAACTCACGAGCAACTTCCAAATGGGTCACCTATCATGGGAGTGCTCTGGCCTCCCTCGCTTAACTTCGGAGTTCTTACGGAACCTGAAGTCAGTGAGCTTCCAAAAGTCCTCGTGCTAGGTAGGGATGAGAATATACATTTAAGGATCACTCCTCTGGGTGATGTGGGATGTTACAATCCAACCCTCTTAGAGGCCCGATGTCCTCGTCGGCACACTTCCGGCCAGGAATTGGCTCTGATACCATTTTGTCACATCCGGCCTGGGGCGGATCACTTCCCGGGCCCGCTCCACCACCGTAGCACGATATTGTCCGCTTTGGGCCCCGACTACACCCTCACGATTTTGTTTTTGGGAACTTACGAGCAACTTCTCAATGGGTCACCCATCATGGGAGTGCTCTGGCCTCCCTCGCTTAACTTCGGAGTTCTTACGGAACCTGAAGTCAGTGAGCTTCCAAAAGGCCTCGTGCTAGGTAGGGATGAGAATATACATTTAAGGATCACTCATCTGGGCGATGTGGGATGTTACAATCCAACCCTCTTAGAGGCCCGATGTCCTCGTCGGCACACTTTCGGCCAGGAATTGGCTCTGATACCATTTTGTCACATCCGGCCTGGGGCGATCATCGTAGCGGATCACTTCCCGAGCTCGCTCCACCACCGTAACGATATTAGGCCTAACTATGCCCTCACGATTTTGTTTTT